TCAAAGAACGATTTGGTGCGCACTGGAGTATGGTGGAAGACGGTGCTGTTCCCGCCGGTCTTTTCGGGCGGTTCATGACGCGTGACCGGTGCCAGAGTATCATGCGAGACTTGCACTTCGTAGACAACACGATTGACCACGGTAACGATAAACTCTGGAAACTTCGCCCCGTTGTTGACAAGGTCCAAGAGCGCTTTTTGCTGGGGTGGTCTCTTTCTGCTATTTTTTCGTTTGATGAGGGTATACTACCGTCCACGTCGAAGCGGAACACGACCCGGATGTTCATGGCCGACAAGCCTCACCGCTACGGGTCCAAACTATTTATGGTCTGTGACGCGCAGACGGCATACTGCCACAGGTACGTTTAAAATTTGTATGTCGTAACTATCTACTTTGTGTTTGCCTGACAACAGTAAATGTCGTAACTATCTAGGTTCGAAGTTTATGTGGGTAAGCGTGCATCTGCTGGTGGACCTGACACCTCAGTTGACTTTAAGACTGGAGCTGCAGCCGTGGTACGGAATTTGAAGATTGTTCTCGCCCAGTCTCGTCACAAGTGGCATACCTTCGTGATCGATCACTACTACTCGTCCGTGCTCCTTGCTATTGAGCTCCTAAGTATGAAGGTGTATGTTATTGGCACGATCATGACTAACCGGCTAGGATTCAACCCGAATCTCAGGGCTACGAGCAAGACACGCCCAGTAAGCATACCCCACGGTACATTCTCCTTCTCTCGCTCTATCGCCATCCCGACCATGATTTCCTGTGTTTGGTGGGACCGGAAGCCCGTCTATTATCTCTGTACGGGCTCCATTATGGCGGCGTCGACAATTGAGCGAAAAATAAAACGTATCGGTGCGGCTCGAGTGCCGTGCCCCTCTGCTGTAAATGACTACCAGAACTGGATGAGCGGAGTTGATGTCCACGATCAACTCCGTCTCCAGTCGTATTCACTGCAAATGTCGACGAGGTTCACGAAATATTATAAGAGCCTATTCTTAGGTTTGCTGGACATGGTCATGGTAAATGCGTATCTTACGCACAAAGAGGGGGCCAAGACCAAGAAGATGGCTGCTATGAAGCGCTCAGAGTGGTTTTGCGTCCTTCAAAATCAACTTCTCCAACTCAAAGCCGAAGATTTTGCTGGAGTGGAGGCAACACCGCCTCCTGCGAGCCAAAAGCGCCAGCGCACCCCAGTACGCCTCACGCACGCGCTGCAGCAGTCTGAAGATTGGGTTACCGTTACTGGGGTCCAGAAACGCCGGCAGAGATCGTGCAAGGTCTGCGTGCTCTTGCGTACTGAAAAGAAGAAGTCCTTCGCAACAACGTTCTTTTGCGAACGCTGCTTCGTTAATAATGCGAAATGCTGGTTGTGCAACCGTATTCGACGGGAATACAAGGGCGTTGCGCAGACATGCTATGATATCTGGCATGATGACTTCGACGCCGGGCAAGCTATCCCACCAAACTTAGGGAAGCGCATTGTGCTCCGTCGGCCCGGCCAGAAAGCTGGCCAAAGAAAGAAGACGCGACGGGAACTTCGACTTGGGCACGATGCTGGCAGCGACGACGGCAACGGTGGTGACAACGAGAATGGTAGTGATGACGAGTGAGCTTGGTTGCGTGTCAGTTGATTAGTGATTTGTTTCAAATACACAGCTTCTTGAACCATCGTACCTTCGTCCTTGCGTTTCTTGATTTAAGTGGACTGCCTGTGAAGCAATTTAGCCATCTGTTGACTGCACTTGCAGTCGGTTACGACATTGAGCAGGCAATGTATGAGGACGCGTAAAATGTCCACAGTACTATGAGGTCAATCCACAGAGATAGTATTAATCCACAGATCTGTGAGCCCAGTAAATAACACACTATACTAATCCATAGCTGAATTGACAAATCCACTAGAAGATCAATCAATCCACCAAATGTCAGGTAATCAAACAAACTAAATTTTAGCCAACCAGTGACCGATTACAAACCTCCGGAGATTGGCCGACACGCATCCAATCAAAATCTGCGGTAGGAAACGTCGAGACCATCCACCGACAACGCCACCTGACTCCCCTTGCTCTCTACGCGCAGCACTCGTAAGCCCATAGTGAGTAGCTAGACGAAATCCTCTACCTACCGTACGGACGCTAAAACTACCTAATTATTGTATTTTGTTTGCTTGATTGCTATCAATGTATCTGACACAGCCGCATTAACAAATGGGAAAGCCACTCCCGTGGGCTATGCTGTATCGGCAGGTGTCGGAGGTGGAAAGCGAGCGTATTGTGGAAAACATGAAGCACGCGAAGAAACACACACAAAGTCACTGTCAGCAACACATCGATATGTGCCGTGTGTACGGATCCATCACCTCACACAATGCGATACCGGGTCTTCTTGTGTTCTTCAGCTACGTGTGCGGATGCGTGTGTCGCACCTTTAAGGTGTCGTTTGAAATGCAAGACGCTTGTATGCTGCAAAAGCGGCATAGTGAATATTTACGAGTTTGGTTTACACGAAGTGAAAGGAAATGATCCTCCTACTGGCGGCCTGACGTTGGAACAAAAGCGAACGGCGCGCCAACTAGCTGCTAACGGTCTGAAACCTGCTCGAATTCGAAACGCGCTGGCTGTTGGTGCCTCTGCGGAAAAAATTCCGCATCTCAGCAAGGTGCAAAGTTTTGTTACGTATTGCCGCAAGGCTGAATTGAACAATACGGACGACTTGGATATTCTGGAGGAAGTTATCAGAGCAAAAGCCTACACTGGGCTAGAAGAAGAAAGCTCTGCATTTTCGTTTTCGAGCAACATGAATTGTAATGGAGACATCAATATTGGTGAAGGAACCGACACTAGCACATTTTTTGTCGGCTT